ACCTAAAGAAAGTTTTTTACCAAAATTAAACGACAGGTTTTTTCTCAAAAAAATTTTGAATTTGAAAAATACGCAATTTTCAAGGCTTAGAAAATTCATAGTTTTTCAGTTTAAGGTCTTTAAAAATTGTTTTGATGATATGTATATCAAAAAGATGATTATGTTTTTGTGTTAAATGGTTAAAAGAATAAGCCAATGAAATTTGACATTTATATCTAACCTGGTTTTATTGAAAATCAAGGTTTAAGTAGTTCATTGATTAAAAATTTTCTCTCCTTGTAAACAACTAAAGGGGGGTAACTTTCGGAAGTTCCTGTCCAAAAACCACTCGAACGATTTTGTCCAAAATATGCATACATGCAGTAGATATAGTCATGTACTAAATATACAAAAATAACGAAAATTAAACGACGGGAATTTTTTGGGGTAGGTGTGTTGTACATCCTTAAGTGTAGATTAAGATGATATTTGCTATCTACGTTCAAATTGATTTTTTTTCACGAATTTGAACTTAAATATCCCCAAGTGTCTGTGGGTTAAATTGACTTTTAAACTGTGTCTGATATTTTTTATCCAAGCCGGAAATAAATAAATATGTTATTGTTTTAAATCTGTGATACTGAGTATCTATGAAACGCGGTTGATTTAAATTGTGTAATTTACAGGAATTCAGATATTTATATAAGGCAACAAAACAAATAGAAAAATCTGTTTAATTTTATCTAGTCTGCATGCCGTTTATGGCTTGAAAGCAAGGATTTTCGTGATTAAACGAATACACAAGTACTTTGTGAACTTTGCATTTAAATTTAATTGAACTTTTTTGCACAACACTCTTTTACAAGGAATACATATACTGGAAAATATACCTTTAATACAAGATGATGATGAAAACTTACAAATGGATACGGATTAATGAGAACAAAGTTTGTTAGACGTTTATTTTTTTTTTAATAACAAAGGGAACTATATGTCTGAAATGTATTGTACAGATCTTTTCCCCAGACACAAAAACATTGGATGAAATTTGGGACTGATCAGGAGTGACAATACCGGTAAATCTATAAGGGCCGCCGCACTGAGTATTTTTTCTTTGCAATATGCCCCCCCCCTATTTTTTTTTACAATAACTATTTCAACGATCCCTCTCATCCAAAATGCCCCCCACCGCAGGATTTTGTGTTTGAATTTTCTTTTTAACTTATATGTCGCTCCCAACTCCGTCGTCTATTGACGTTTCAGGTTCCCTGACAGATAATTAATGACACTCATTTGTAGTTTATCTAGTAATCTTTATTCAATAAAAATAATACCAGGTGAAGTATATGCCTTTTTTGTTAATTCATCGTGGAATATAAACATCTCTAAAAATATAGACTGGTGCATTCAAAAGTTTATATCTAGAGGCGCAATAAGCAACAAGCAACAAATATAGAGCGTGAAATTAAATATTGATCAGCGTTTCAGAGTATCGGTTTTTTTTTTCATATTAACCATCTGACTGTGGGAAGAATATACTTTAAAATTCATCCGTAACGTACATATACATGTGTGTTTATATAAGAATGCAACAATATATGGCCTCAGAATATTGATTAATTTTAACAGATTTTGCAAAGGATTATATTTTATATTATAGGTGTTTTGAATAAAAAAATAAATCATAAGAAAATCAAACTGGATCTATTGTGACGTCATCTTTGTTATTATTACGTAATATATTCACATCTGTTGACGGTAGCTATATCAACTTTCTCGGTTTTTTAAAAATAAAATTATACCTTTGGCTTAAAATACAAACCCGTTTTCTTCTTCTGTGCTAATACGATTAATCAATTGATTTTTTTTTATTTAGCATTTTCATTAGTTGTTGATCCTTATTGGAAATGTTTGTCAGATGCAGGTTAGGCCTACACATTGCAGGGCCCATCGTCATCTGTCTTATTATTCTTGCGTATTTTCAAGTTTGTATGCTATTTTTCTTGACAAATAGACTTACATGAAAAATAAACATATTGCCGATGCATGGATTATTAATTCATTAACATTTTGTATGAACTATGGTCATATAATTTCACATAAATAAAAATACACCTCTCAATGAACTTTCAATCCACCGCCGGAAAAGTACTGTAAAGTCAAAATAAACATACTGCACATTCCTCGAGCAAAATCTTATCCCTTTTTTCATCCGTCTTTCATCAAAATGTTTTGAAATATACGTGTTTTATTTTGCTCGAGGGGTGTGCACTACTTCAATTTTAGAAATATCTGTCGAAAATAGTGGAAAAACTAGCAATATCCGAAAAAAACGGATCTTTTAACGTGGTCTATACGTTTAAATAACAGAGTGTGGAAATTTTGCTTTGCATATTCTAAAACTACCAATCATCTAGTACATGCACATAGATTTAAAATTTTGGCAAACCTATATATTATATTACGGAAAATACTGGGCCTCCGTATAATAACTAACGTACTCAATTCTTAACCCAATATGGTTTTTGATAAGAAGATGAAAATGTAAAAAGTTTACAACGACAACAACAACGACTGACAATGCACAAATGATCATAAAAGCTCACTTGAGCCTTTATTTTAAAGCATATGTTGCTATAAATAGAAATGGAAACCCACATTGGTATGCATTTCGGTTAATGTCCTCTTGTACGTGTCGGTTACATTATGTCAGTTACAGCTAATTAAAGTTCGACTGCAATCTTCTATCCCTTATTTGAGAAAATAAAACGATTCTACATTTTCTTGATTAATTGCTGAATGTCTATTAATAAATAAACGTTACTATAGGTCGAAACGGAAAATACCCTTAAACATTATTCTTATACGTTTTATTGAAGGCTTTTTCATACTCGTTAGTCACATTCTGTCAATAACAAATAAAAGCTGTTTGTCGGCACATTGTCCATCCCCAATGTTAGAAAAAAGTGCAAAATCTACATTTTCTCGAGAATTTGCAGTACGTCTTTTTTTAAACACGTGTTACTCTAAATAGACATGAAAACTTCTGCTTCTCATTCTGTATTTCATATAATGCTTTCTTTAAATTGTTGGTAACCATATGCCAATAGCAGTTAAAAAGGATAGTCTGCAATTGTTCATCCAAAATGTGAGAAAAAAGTACTAAAAACTACATTTTACCGATATTTCGCAGAACGTCTATTTTCAAACAATTGTTACTATAAATAGAAATGGAAACCCCTGCTTATCATGCTGCATTCCATTGAATGTTCTTTTATAGATAATTTCCGATAGGCCTGAATTTAGCGAAAGTTACCTCCCGTTGGTCGCCTGGAGGTCGACTCGGTGATTTTCCCTCTTTGTCTTACCAAGTTTAAGAGGTTGTAGCAGAAATATTTGGTGGAAAATCTTTATTAAATATTTTTTTTTTTAAATAAAGGAGGCTTCCAAAAATTTATATACTTAAAAAAATAATGATTTCTAATTCAAAATAACAAATATAGAAATTTTAAATTGGTTGAACTATGAAGGAATATAAGCATTTGGACCTTTTATTTAACCTTAAACTTCTCAAAAAATGCCAATTTTTCCATTTTTCACATTTTTAGAAACTATGCTATTTTGCAGAACCAATTTCTAAGAGTGGGGTTAATTCTGGAATAACTTAATTATATGCCCTGTATTCCTTAACAGTTATTGTTTTCTTATGATACAAAGATTTACATTTGAGATTGCTACATAAAGGTAAAATTGCATTTATATTTCTTCAATTTCCATGTTTTTGTTTGGTCGAAAATGGCCAAATTCAATGGATACGTCTCCATGGCAACCGGGTGCACATGGGAAATTTCTATCACCATATTTGCTGGTTTTGTACCAAGGTGACCTGTGTTGCAAATTTCATCAAAATCAGTGATATGTTGTTTCCAAGCCCTATAGTAAAATTTTTGGTGCTTACAGAGAAGGCATGTTAAGTATAAAACTTTATTTCTCTTGAACTCGACCTCGGACACTTAAGAAATGTTAACCTTCCCCTTAAACTGCCATACGAAAGCATCGGTGTTTCACAGACACATATCCACACTTCAGATGCCTGTGATTCTAATAATGATGTAAAATGTCAAGGTGGCACAGCATTAGTAATGTAACTAAAACATATCTTATCAATCTACATGACCTTTGTTTTATTGATTAAACATTACGTTTAAGATGACCAGTGCGCGGTACATGTGTACCACATGGATGGGAAGGACAACACACAAAAACACACAATGAGTAAATGCATATATATTGTCTATTTATTTCATGTATATGTTCAAAGTATAAGAAATGATATAAATAAACACTAGTACGGACTGTGGGGAGCAGTGCTGGATAATGCATATTATTATATGATTGAATAATTTCCATCTCTCTGATTGGCTGAGATCCAACTATGTTACAAAATACTACGTTGTATTGACCTGCACGTGACGTTCCAGGTGAATACAAGGATTTATTTCCTCTATATTGTTCTAAAAATAGATCGGAAATTCCAAATTGATACAAATTGTTTTGGAAGGCTATTTAAACGACTATGACTTTTTTTCATGTGAACAAAACATAAGTGAAAATGATTATTTTCGAGTGAGGGTGGTTAGAGGGGATGCATGGACACCTTCAAACACTTTTACTGAACAACAATTTTTAATTTTTTCGGCTGTCAGTTTTCCCTGATAATACACCTTCCTTTTAAAATCTATCCTTTAAAAAAACTGACATTATATTTTTTTTCATCACAACTAAATTTGATAAAAAAAACCCTTCAAATTGATATGACTGGTAAAGCTTATTTACATTTAAATTCTGCTTCTGCTCTTGTGTTTGGCTAGGACTTAATTAAATGGAAAAAAGTAATGGATTTTTATCATTTTATCAGTGAATCACATAATAAAACAATTATTGCTGTTTTTCGGTCAATACAATGATTTAGCTATCTCGAAGTACAAAATTCACCTCGCCCTTCGGGCTTGGTGAATATTGTACTCCTCAGATGGCTAAATCATTGTATTAACCGAAAAAACAGCAATATTTGTATAATATATGAAATTGTTGCTAGAAAAAACTTGCCTATATAGCTATACATTTTTAAAAAAATATTATTAGATAATCTAAGACCTATTCTTTGGACATTAGATGTGATGTATAAAGGTACTAACTAGTAAATGATGGCAGAGAAGAGAGATTGTGAAGGAACGACGGAAGATGAGGGAGATGTAAGTGTATTTTTAATGCAATAATGCACAGGAAAAAATGTACATTTTTTTTTAGTTAACAGCAACATTTTTTCCTCTTCAACATATGCTAAAATGATTTAACATATTTATGAATCCATTTTTGTTAAATCATGAGACAGAATCCTAACGAATAGAGGTTTAGGATAACTAGCTCACAATATTCTACAAAGTCTCTTCCTAATGAGTTGGCATTTCATCAATAGGACATTAAAAGAAAACGATTGGATACGAACGCCTTTGCTGGAACAAGTAACGACATTTCTGATGATACAATTAGTCAGTATGACAAAGGTGAGAAACAGATTTGAAATGAAAATCAACCTTTTAGCACTGATTTAAAGTTATTTTCATTAAAATCAATGTTTTGGTTAAAAAATTTTGTCAAATATGAAATATCAAATTAATGTTTGTATTGTTTAATTCAAATCTTAATTTATTTTACTATTTAGTGCTTGATACTGATATCAGAGATAATTACTAGCATGTTTCTAACAGATCCGTTATCAGATTTAACAAGGAATCAGCGTGTCGTTCTCTACACCCTGTTCCTGTGTTTTGAAGATCCTGATTATATCTTTCTGGATGACGATGACGGCACTATGGGAGACATTGATGTCAGGAAGACACTGGAGGGGCTGGAGGACAGGGGACTGGTGATACGTGTCGGAGAAATGTTTAACAGTGACAGAACTGTGTATACTGTCGATATTGAGAAACTAAATGAGATAATTCAATCTTACATAAAGAACTGTCTACTGAGTGACATAGACAAAGACTTCTTCATAGACGTGGCCGGCTATTCCCCCTTACGTGTCTGGTATACAACACAGGCCCCTATCATTAACCGTGATATTTTAAACCCACAAGCCGGTAGATCTATAACATTCATGAGACTGATGATGGAGGGGAGGATGGACGATGTAGAATGTATTAAAGAAAGTACGTATACTTCAGTTATTTATGTAAAGCTAGATGTTATATATAAAGTAATTACATTTAAATCTGCAACATATACTAGTATATGATAACATTTGATTACAGTATTTTTCAACAGTTCAGTTGATTCGGCATATTGATTTTGATATTTGCATGCAACGAAAATAGTTAAAGGATAAAATGCCATTACTTTTTCCCAAGGACCCCCCTCTTCTTCGAATTCTATCTAATTCCACAATGACTTTGATAGTTTATTACAAGAGTGAATAACAAAGACACCTTATATGAACAGTTTTCAACAGTCTGGATACTTTATAATTATGAGAAATGCTGTAGATTCCTTATTTTTCGCGATTACTTATCATCGCAAAATCCCTTCTCATCATATGCATCAAATGGCGAAAACAATAAAATAGAGAGTAGATGATTAATTGAAAGCTTAAATACGTTGTGTTATCAAGTATCAGGGAAGTTTAACACATCAAAAAATCAATCAATTATCAAAATGCTATAAAATAGTTCTTGGTAGATATTATAATCAACAATTAACAAAGCTTTAAAACAAGAGGCCCATGGACCCTATAGGTCACTAAGAAGGGAATTCATTTTCAGTAATATATATAATTAGATCCCCTTCTTGATTCTGGAAAAGATCCCCCTTGCTTATCATATCTATAAAGCTAGTTTATTGCTTAATAATAAGGAGCAGAGGAGACGATTTTCAGAGAATTAATGCATTTTGACTATATAATTATACCCCCGCTCCGAAGGAGAGGAGTATACTGTTTAACCCTTGTGTGTCTGTCTGTATGTCCGTGTGTCTGTCCGTAACAAATTTTCGATGCAGTTTTCCCAGCAACTACTTATTGTAGATGCTTGAAATTTTAACACAATCTTTTTTGAGGCATGTCATATGGTGGGGTACATTTTTGTTTAAATCCGATGTCAACTTCCTGTTTTTCTGTGCGTCTGTCTTTTTCATATACAATGTATTAAAAAATTTCGTCGTAGTTTTTCTCAGCAACTACTGATCGCAGATACTTGAAATTTTAACACAATCTTCTCTAAGGCATGTTATACACGATTCTTTTTCACAAGTTTTACAGAGTTATCGCGCTTTGTCATACGGCGGCGTTGTCTTCGGTCGCCATTACGATGCTGACGGTGTGATTAGAGTGACAGTAAGCACAACGAATAAACGGGTGATAAATACATTGTTTTCTTTGTTTTCCACAGTCAGACATGCTGAGATACGATTGGAAAAGTGTGTTAGTATAGTAAAAAAATCTAACGAAGTGAAATACACGTGTGTACTTTTTTAAAAATCAAGTTTTCTATTTCATTTTATGTGTGAATAAATAGCCCCATCGTCGCAAACCACGGCCAAAATGTACGATCCTCTCCTATTCTGGAGAGAGCTATATGCGGACTTCGGACCGTGGCTTTAGACGTAGGAATAGCCCGTAGTTATCCGAAACCTTTTTTTTTGACGTTTTGTATATGATTTTATACAACATGTGCTGGTTTACTTAATAAAAATTAAATGAAAATAATTAACAATAACAAAGAAATTGAGACAAAATTAAAAATATATATATTTCGTGTTTAACATTAAAAAAAATGTCAGTCGAGAAAATCTAGACAACCGTCGTGTTATTAATCTAATTTTACTTCATGGATATTGATTTATTTAATAATCTATAAAAAAAAATAAATACGTTCTAATGAATTGTTCTTGATCTGATTTTAATTACAATTCACATTGGCCTACATAAATGTAAATGAACAGCCCGCCTACCGAGAAAATCATTTTACGCATTTAAAAAATACATGACATACTTTTATGTATTACATGTATATTTATTACATTTGAAAAGGAAAAAAATTAACAAATTCTTATTATTATTTTAGATTGTGCTGCAATATTAAACAGGATTATCCTTTTATGAAATGATTCCACACATGTTAAATCACTCAGGGAAAAAAAGGGAAGTTTAGCCTTGCGTGAGCATTAAACTGACTTGTTGCATGCTCTTCAAAAACAGTCCTTGCTTTATGAAAAACATAATCAACCTTTTCGTAAATAAAAAAATGTTAATTTTATCACACAGGTATTAATAAGTTTTAAAGTATATACTAGTATATACAGATGTATAAGTAACATTAAACTTCAACCGCGTTTCTCTGTGTGTCCTGTACAAGAATCGAGGGAAAAAAGGAGAAAATTGAAGTGTTTTTTTTTTTTTTTAAATTTATTAGTTCTGGATACCGGAATAATATAAGCGTCGGGAGCAACCTGAAATAGAAAAGGAAACAAGACAGGGGAGGGTGACACTTTAAATATAGCAGTGATTTTCTTGATCTACCTTTAATAATATTGTAACCATGCGCATGTAGCCTTTCAGAAATTTAGACAAAAAATACAGAAAAAAGACATATGTACAGTATGTGGCCATAAGTGAGTCATAATACTTCGATTCCGGAATGTAACGCTCTTTATTGCTAGGAGGTAGAAAAGGGTCGCGCGATCATGTGACTTGTAAAAAATCTAGGCACTTTTCATGGCGAGAGATTACGTACGCAATGTCAACAACAACACGGAAACAAAAACCGTCCACAAATTATTGGTGTGTAGTACCAGAATGCACATCAGACAGTAGAAAAAGAAAGTCTTTAGGAAAATATCCATGGATGGATGGTGTTGTATTTATCCCATTTCCAACTAAAAAAAAGAACCCAAAGCTGCGTCAGAAGTGGGTGGAAATGATAAGGCGGCCTCTTGACTACGATC